TATTTCACCAAAACCTATTAAGTTACCTTTTGAATAGAGACCGAATCAAATAGGCGTGAAATTAAGCTTCAACAAGTAGTAGTAATAATTAAAAATATCGGAGACCTCGACAAATGCTGGAACAATGATTTCCTGGAATACCAAAGGCTGAATTGGCTATAGTTTCAAAAGTGTTATTCAAAAGCCGGTCTCTATAAACATAGGTAACTCTTATGAATTAAAATATTTCCTAAATTATTATTAACTTAATTAGGATTTCTGCTGGACCACTGTACAATAATTATTAAGTTCGTTTTCATAGGTTCCGGTTAAATTAACGGCCATTGGCAAAAAAAGTCGTAGCTTATGAAAACTCACTTAAAAAGGTCACCCGCGAGAAATCTTGCAATGATTTTTCAGGACCTTTCATCATTTTTCACACTTTTTAAATAAAGAAAAGACTGTATTTAGTATCAAACAATTTCGGTTGAAAATATTTGATTATCTACACGAGAAAACGATATATATATGAACAAAATTGAATTATTTTTGGGCTGATATTTCTATCTTAAATTTCGACCTCCATTTATTAAAATAGATATGCCACTTGATTTTATATCCAGTTAAAATTGATAAAATATCCGAAAATTATTAGATATTTACTGGGCCTGCTATACAATTCAGTTTCAATTCAAAGTATCCTTTCACCTGTTGAAGCTTTTCCAAAGGCCACTTCCAAAAATCTCTTATGGAAGGAGACGATACTCTGATGAAGTGTGAGTAATTTTTTGTTTCACTCACAGAGAAGAGATTTTCAAATTTCAAAAATTGGAGAGTTAGAAATGGAAAATTTACGAAGGGTGAACCGCAAGGGTAATCTGGTGTACAAATTAAGAGGAAATCTAAAGCAATCAGAGGCAATTATCATCATTTTGCCTTCAACAATATGCACAACAACAAACGAAAAACAATTCTGGAAAACACACTTTCACTCTTGAATAACAGGTTTAATAAATAACAATCTAACAATTCAAGTGACTAACTGAAATCCTAATATATGTGACGTTTACGTTGACGGTCAGTTATCGGGTGTACTGGTGTATACCTCCAGTCCCTGGTCTCGAACGGGTTGCTACATTCCGTCCTGTTTTTTCACCCTCAGAGGTTCAAGTCGGCCTGTGACGTGAGTCCCTCCAAGATCTTGGCTCCATTTTGGTCTCCAGGCCCTGGTGAATTGTCTTCTTGCTTCTTTTCTTCCGGTGCTTGGGGTACTGATATATTGTCTGATATTTTGTTAAAGTGAGAAACATGTGTTTCAATTATTTTTCCATTTTCAAGTATTTTCGCCTCATTTTCATTTATTTCCATTATTCCATATTCCCTATTTTCATACTAAGTTGCGAGTTTGTGGGGAAATATTGTTTGCTGCACGAGGTCTTTATCTCCAGGTTTTAGTATGGTGTCTCTTCTTGGCTTCTTTTTGTCCTCTCGTTCCTTTCTTTTTTGCTTTTTGATAACATCATTGTCATCTGCTTCTTTATCAATTGTATTATCCTTACAAAGGTCATTTATTGAAGGAACTTTATCTCGGATTTTTCTATTAAAAACAAGTTCCGAGGATGATTTACCTCTCGTACCTTGTCGTACATTGTACATCAGAATAAACTTTTGGAGTTCATTTTTATAATTATTTAATCCGTTGTTGTGACATATCTGTAAACGTTTCAATAGTGGATGGTTCATATTTTCAACCAAACCGTTAGCTTGTGGCCAATAAGGTGGCGTGTGAATTAACTCAATTTTATTATCTATGCAGTATTTCTTGAGCTCGTATCTTATGAACTGTCGCCCATTATCGGTTCTAATAGATTTGGGAATGCCAAGTTTTGAAAATAATTCAATGAGGTAATTTATTTTTATTATGGATGTGGTTGATTTTAAGTATTTTATTTCCTGATACTTCGAGAAGTAATCAATGATAACTAAAATTCCAGCAAAATGGACGATTATGGGGCAACAATATTAAAAGATTCACCCATCACCACAAAGTCAACGAGCAAGGACGAGGAAATAAGCAGTAACAGAGAATGACAAATCGACACCAATATGGCGGCCAGTCGTTCTAGATCGACGTCATCAAGAAAAATGAAAAAATATGGTCAGAAATGCGGTGTTGTGGTGAAACGCATCCACCCCATGCAAGTATAGGACCTACCAGTGCGATATTTGTAAGAAAGCAGGTCATTTAGCTAAGGTTTGTTCAACAAAAAGAAGTTTTAATTTTGTAAAAAAAAATAATGGGTATGTACAAAATTTGGATTATTATTCTGATTCTGAAGATGATAAATTCTATATTGAACAAGAAACTACCGCAGCAAGTTTTGTTCCACTAAACCCCCGCATTATGCCATTGCTTATATCAGCATATTAATATTATATGAAGGAATCTAAGATTAGAATCTAGTTAGTTCCTTTGTACCGTTCTTGAGAAAATTAAGTTTTCCAAACAGGGTTTTCTGTTTATCAGTCACGTAACTGGCGCAGTCGGCAGTGCGTTTTCGAAAGTTAGTCCCGGTTTAGCAGAAAATTTGGGTTTTACGGGTCGTCGAAAAACCAAAATTGACTTTTTGTGTTGACGATTAACTGTCTAACGAAAATCGTTCGTTAAAACCTGAAAAAATAAAACTCTTATAACGTGCGAATGAGCTCACGTAGTCGTGGATTGAGGAACAAAAATCGTCCGACAATCTGAGGTACAGACAGAGGAACAAGCATCGTCCATCAGCCCTATTGGTACGGATAGAGGAACAAGCATCGTCCAAAGTCCATAAGCAGCTAAGTTAAACCAAGTTTATGTCTATCAAAGCGTATTTGATATTATTACTGTAAGTAATCCAATTTTTTCATATTTTCCTCATAAAATTGAGTTTATCCATTTTATTTCCATTTATAAAAGTGTAAACATTTGTTTTATCATTTTTCAAAAAACTGGAACGTGATAACGAAATAGAAGACTTAGCAGGTTTTCTTGAAAACTTAGTAATAAATAATATATTTGAAGAACAAATTAATATGGCTAATCCAAACTATCATTTAATCAAATCTGAAGATTGCCCTATGCAAGACATATTAACTATGAAATTAGAAAAAAGTGAGTGTCATAATTTTGGTTTGAAATTACAAGACGTTAGAAGTCCGTTATTTTCAAAAATTAATAATCCCAACGATCCTGTCAATGTGAAATTATTAAAAATTCAACAATTTGAAGATTTGTGTTTGAAAACATTTATCAATAATCTTAACTGTCACATGCAGTTGGTAGTAAGACTTAAAGATCTTGTTTCACTCCAACAAGCCCTTGCGATTGTCAGAGAAGACAAAAATTTTCTTCAATTCAAAAACAAATCGAACCCCAATACTAAAAATATGCCTACTGGAAATAATATTAGGAACAAAAACAAAAATCCTTTCAATAATACATACAATTTCAATAGATCAGTTTGAAGAACAAATAACAACAATAATCAGAATCGAAGTGTAACCGAACCAATGGATACCTCATCCGGCAACACTCGAATTAATACAATTCAAAGACCTCGCCAAAATAATTTTGTTGCACAAGAATTATTTAATCAATCTGTGGACACTGTATCTGAAGATAATACAAAAAACCAAACTGAAATTGACTCAGTTCAAAACTCTAATTTTGACGAAACCAATAATTTTTATCCAAATGATTACAATAATTATTATCAACCTTATCAACCTGATAACAATTATATTAATCCGTTTGATTACATGTACAATATGTATGAGAACACCAATTTTCAAAATAATGATTTTCAGTATCAAAATTTTCAATTGACCCCGAATTCCGACAGTGTGACATAATTTGTCTCGATAATTATTATACCTCTGATTTACCAGTCATAATAATTCCTGAATTAAATGCTAAATTTTTAATTGATACAGGAAGTGGAACAAGCTTTATCAATTCGCCACTGACATATCCCGACTTTATTTTTAATGGATATTTCACATTTAGGACAGCCCATGCAATTTCTACTCATGATGAAGTTATAGATATTCCAATCTTTCCTTCACTCAGGAAAAATGGTCATCATAAATTTTATTTATTCAATTTTTCCGAAAAATTCGATGGCTTATTAGGCGTTGATTTTTTAATAGACATAGGCGCTAGAATTAATTTACAAAACTCGACTCTAGAGACATCTCAAGTACACATCGTCAGTACACAAGAAAAGTGGCACAAGTCAAAATTTGGATTTTTTCGGTTTATTATGATTTTCATATCATAAAAGGGTATATTTTCATAGGAAAAAACGACACATTTTTAACCGTAAATCATAACCGCTAGATGACACTAGTGTCACTTTGGCGCGAACCGAAATTTCTGTTGACTCCATCTTGAAAACCGTCATATCTCAGTACGCCTGTGACACTTGTCGGGGAAGGTGCTATTGTTTGTTCGCAAAAGTGGCATATTTTAAGTTAGGTCATCGAGGGATAAAAGCTATTTGCGAGAAAAGCGACACCTTTTGAGTTGCGTCACTTTTGAAGAAAAGGTAATTACATATTTCTTTATTCTCTTACCAACTCTACGTAATATTTTAAGTTATGCCAGTTTACTTGATAAATAGAATTAGATTTTTTGTAATTTTTTAAGTTATGCCAGTTTTCTTGAATTAATTTTTAATTTTTTTTCGGAACTTTGTAATTGTGTCACTTTTCTTGATTAACATTATACTTATCTAATTTTTTTTCAAGGTCGAAAATGTCATCAAGAACAAAATTAATATTACAATTAGTCAAGGATGGCGAGAATTGGAGGTCTCCAAATCAGCTTAACGATAGTAAGTACCGATATTTAAGAATGAATTTACCTGCTTACTAGGGTAGTGGTTCTGACTATCAATGACTATTGCTTTTTCTTTTCATTAAACAAAAATGTATTAGTCAAAATAATATTCCTATTTGTTTTATTTCCTTATTACTTATAGATAATCTAAACATTGCCAGAAACATCGAAGATAGAGCTAATTGTCCCAACTCAGTCACAGATAATCACACAGGCAAAAAATGTTTCGTAAATTTTGATGAAGAACAGCATAAAATACAAACCTCTTCAATGGTAAAGGAATTAGCTTCAACTACTGAAAATAATGGTAGGTACTCAATTTCTGATGATTTAGTTTTCAAGATTGAACAGTAGGTGTTAAAACTGAAAAAAAGCTATGAGACGATTCTTTTATTTTTATTTAAGAGAACATACAGATTAGACAAGAGGAACAAAAAACAGCAATATTCCATGGTGATACTGAGGCACTAAATAAATGTGTCGAGAATGAATCGCTTCCAAATTAAGATGATGAAACACAGGAAACCCAATCTAGCTTCCAGAGAGAATTTACATCAGGAACTATTGGTATACCTACCTATCCTTTTATTAACTAAAATCATTGTCTTGAATAATTGAATATTTCAGAAGGGTTAGTTCCTGATTTAGAGGATGATCAGAGTATAAACTCAGATACAGATTCTAGAAGCTCTTCAAAAAATCCTTATTCTTCAGATGATTCAATAAGGGATCCGGATTACGAAAGTTCTTCAAGCAGTTCTAGCAGCGATAGTGAATCTGAAAATAATAATGTAGGTCCTGGTAATATGCACAATTTGGAAGATACTGAAGCTGACCCTCAGAAGAAGGCTAAAAAAAGAAAATCGTGTCCCGAAAATTGGCGAAAGAATATTTTAAAACGGCTAAGGAATTCAGGAAAGTCGTATGTTTCTTGTGGCAAGAAACATCAACAGGTCGCAGAACGAAAAAAAGGCCCACCTTGTAACGACACTAAGTGCAGATTAAAATGTAGCTTAAAGATTCTGGGCGACATACGAGAAGCTATTTTCACAGATTACTGGAATCTAGGTGACTTAGAAAAACAGCGATGCTTTTTGATGGCAAATATGGAACAAATAAATCCCAAATACCGATACGTCAGGGATGGAAGTTATCGCAAACCTAACCATGCTTTTTATTTTACAGTTGGCGGCAAAAAACACCGCGTCTGCAAACTGTTTTTTAGGACAACGTGAGGTATTTCCGACAGAGTGCTTAGAACTGTGATTGATAAAAAAACTCTTTGATCGGGTGGAATGATAACCTCAGCGATGAGGGGCAAGCATGGAAAGCATACACGAGTGGATGAAGAAATTAAAGATGACGTTCGAAATCATATTGATTCAATTCCCAGAAAAGAAAGTCACTATTCGCGTGAAGGCACTTCCAGAGAATTTATAGACGGTGGAAAATCATTGGCAGACATCCATCGTGACTATGTGGCTATTTCTAAAGCTAAAGAGCGGCACTATGCGAATTATCTTATGTTTAGCAGAATTTTCAACACTGAATATAATATTTCCTTTTTCATACCCAAAAAAGATCAGTGCGAGGATTGTATCGCATATTTTAATGCATCGGAGGAAGATAAAGTGACTTTAAAAGAAAAATACGATACACATCTTCGCGAGAAGGAGCTTTCTAGACAGGAAAAACAGAACGACAAAAAAAACAATGACGACAATACGATTATTGCTGTATATGATTTACAGGCAGTACTGCAGTGTCCCAGGGGAGATGTGTCTAGTTTTTATTATAACTCAAAGCTGAACGTGTTTAATTTTTCAATATACGAAATGAAGACTAACACTGGGCGATGCTTTGTTTGGGATGATTCCGAAGCAAACAGAGGAGTTTGCGAAATAGGCACCTGTGTATTCAAATACCTTCAAAACCTGGAAACATACGCAACTGAAGATAAAAAATTAGATGTAATATTCTACTCGGACAATTGTTGTGGGCAACAAAAAAATCGATTTATGTTTGGAATGTATTCGTATGCTGTTCAAAATCTCTCATTTATTAATTCTATAACACACAAGTTTCTCATCAAAGGTCACGCTCAAAATGAAGGGGGTAGCATGCACTCTGTTATCGAAAAACAAATTAAAAAGGCTCTTAAATCTGGGTCCATATACGTTCCTCAACAGTACATTACTCTTATGCGGACCACAAAAAAATCTGGACAGCCTTACATAGTAACAGAAGTTAGTTACGAGGATATACTGAACCTTAAAAGATCTCATTACTATCGGATCTAACTTGAAAAATACTGAAAATGAATCAGTGAAAATTGGAGAAATAAAAATGGAATGAAACAAATAAAATATTTTACAAAACTTCTTATGAAAAAGTCGATTTCAAGATTATTGAAAGAAAGCAACGCAGAAATAATAAAAATAATGTTTCAACATTAAGAAAATTGCATTCTACTAGACCCAAATTGGGTGAAAAAAAAAAGGAAAGTATTTTATCTTTATTTAAAAACAATGCTATACCTAAATTTTATTATAATTTTTATAAAGACCTTTAAACTCACACGTTGAAACAGTATTTATGAGTTATTTTGTTTAAGGCTGACACTCTAGAATGTTGAGTTGTTTATTTTTTGTTATAGAATTAGGTTTTTTTTATTGTTAGTGTTAGTTTCTGACAAAACTATTCAAGAAAATTTGTTTTTTGTACTTAGGAATAGTATATAAGAGTTCTGTTTTTATTTAAAAGTTTTTATTTTGTATTGGAATATACCAAAAATTTAATTAAACAATTTTCAAGTAAAATTTGCCGTTTTTGTTACGTTTATGATACATATTTTATCCAAAAATAGAATATAATTTTTCGAGAAAACCGACACAAATGGAAATTTTTCTAAAAAAATCCTATAATGTAAACCCAATATTGAAATAAATGGAAAAAGTTACTAAAAACCAATTCTGAAACCTCTAAATGTTTCACTAATACCACAAAGGACAAACTTTCTTCTTCAATTTCCATAAAATTTTAATCGAAAGTAAACATAATCTTCCAAATCGCTCTCCTGTAAAATTTGATTTTTTTGAGTTGTGTCAGTTTTCTTGTGTACTGACGAATACCTTTACAATTTCAAAATAAATTACATCAAAACGTAACAAAATCTAAACAATTACAATTTCATGGAATGATTATACCTCCTCGCAGTTCACAAAAAATTAAAGTACCAGTGAACCAAGCGAACGGAATAGGCATACTACACCATCTGAACTTAAAAAATGTTGCAGAAATGCCAGAAGCATTAGTAACTATAGAAAACAATTTTCCTTGTTGTTGATACAACAATAAGTAATTTTCGAGAAAATCTAGTTAAAATCAAATTTGAAGAACCTCTCGAAATAGAATCAATAAATGAATTTGAAAACAATTTCATTGAAAAAATGGAAACTTATGTTGAAATCGATAATTTGAATGACAATAAATTGAAACAAAATTCAAAAAATTTACGTTTAAATAATTGCAATAAAGAAAAATATACAGCTATTCGAAATCTTTTCTATGAATATCCTTTGACCTTTTTAAGGAAAATACAATTGATAAAGAAGCAGATGACAATGATGTAATCAAAAAGCAAAAAAGAAAGGAAAGAGAGGACAAAAAGAAGCCAAGAAGAGACACCATACTAAAACCTGGAGATAAAGACCTCGTACAGCAAACAATATTTCCCCACAAACTCGCAACTTAGTATGAAAATAGGGAATATGGAATAATGGAAATAAATGAAAATGAGGCGAAAATACTTAAAAATGGAAAAATAATTGAAACACATGTTTCTCACTCTAACAAAATATCAGACAATATATCAGTACCCCAAACACCGGAAGAAAAGAAGCAAGAAGACAATTCACCAGGGCCTGGAGACCAAAATGGAGCCAAGATCTTGGAGGGACTCACGTCACAGGCCGACTTGAACCTCTGAGGCTGAAAAAACAGGACGGAATGTAGCAACCCGTTCGAGACCAGGGACTGGTGGTATACACCAGTACACCCGATAACTAAACGTCAACGTAAACGTCACATATATTAGGATTTCAGTTAGTCCCTTGAATTGTTAGATTGTTATTTATTAAACCTGTTATTCAAGAGTGAAAGTGTGTTTTCCAGAATTGTTTTTCGTTTGTTGTTGTGCATATTGTTGAAGGCAAAATGATGATAATTGCCTCTGATTGCCTTAGATTTCCTCTTAATTTGAACACCAGATTACCCTTGCGGTTCACCCTTCGTAAATTTTCCATTTCAAACTCTCCAATTTTTGAAATTTGAAAATCTCTTCTCTGTGAGTGAAACAAAAAATTACTCACACTTCATCAGAGTATCGTCTCCTTCCATAAGAGATTTTTGGAAGTGGCCTTTGGAAAAGTTTCAATAGGTGAAAGGATACTTTGAATTGAAACTGAATTGTATAGCAGGCCCAGTAAATATCTAATAATTTTCGGATATTTTATCAATTTTAACTGGATATAAAATCAAGTGGCATATCTATTTTAATAAATGGAGGTCGAATTTTAGGATAGAAATATCAGCCCAAAAATAATTCAATTTTGTTCATATATATCGTTTTCTCGTGTAGATAATCAAATATTTTCAACCGAAATTATTTGATACTAAATACAGTCTTTTTTTTTATTTAAAAAGTGTGAAAAAAGATGAAAGGTACTAAAAAATCATTGCAAGATTTCTCGCGGCTGACCTTTTTAAGTGAGTTTTCATAAGCTACGACTTTTTTGCCAATGGCCGTTAATTTAACCGGAACCTATGAAAACGAACTTAATAACTATTGTACAGTGGTCCAGCAGAAATCCTAATTAAGTTAATATTAATTTAGGAAATATTTTAATTCATAAGAGTTACCTATGTTTATAGAGACCGGCTTTTGAATAACACTTTTGAAACTATAGCCAATTCAGCCTTTGGTATTTCAGGAAATCATTGTTCCACCATTTGTCGAGGTCTCCGATATTTTTAAATATTACTACTACTTGTTGAAGCTTAATTTCACGCTTATTTGATTCGGTCTCTATTCAAAAGGTAACTTAAGAGGTTTTGGTGAAATAGTTTGTGGAGAATTTTGCGGGTGGCCATTTTTGAAGCGGTTTTTTACTGGCACTGGGGATTTAATTTAACCGAAACTTATGAAAACTGATTTATTAATTGTACAGTTGGTCCAGCAAAAATCTTAAATAGAGTGTTAATAATCATTACTATTAACTATGTATACCTAGCAGATTTTAGCTGATATTATTACTTAGTGCTTATCAAAGTATTGTTACCTAATTTAATTTCATCGCAAAATGTGCACAATTATAATGTAGAGATTTCTTGCGGGTGACCTTTTTAAGTGAGTTTTTAAAGGTTACGCTTCAAACCGGAATCTATCAAAACACACTAAATACAATGTAAAGCTGGTCCAGAAGAAATCTTAGTTATTTTAAGGTTTTACTATTATCTAATTCAGAAATTAATTTTCGTTCTTGATATCCCCGAAATTTTGGATGAGGATCGATTTTTTGAAAACTAAATTTAAATATACTTAATTCACATAAAAAAAATATACATATTTTTCTGAATCTGATCACATTTTATTTGTAATACATACTTAGTTTTAAATTCGATCTCCGTTCAAAAAGTAGGGGATTGATTGGGATGACGACTTAAGCTTGAGGTGTATTAGTTTTTAAAGACTTCTCGCAGTAGATCTTTTTCAAGTCAGTTTCTATAAGTTGGTGTTTGTTTTTCTTTTGATCTCATCTCAGAAGTCTCAATTTTTAATGTACATATTATTATTTTCTATTTTAAAATTATTATTATTTTGAACATTATTTGAGTGACTGGATTATGAGCTTTTTTTTTGTAAGTCTGGAATGCTAGAAAAAAGAAATTAAAAACCCAAATTCCAATAATACATTTCCTAGATTCAATTTTGTTTTCTATGATTTCTTTTTTCTTGTATATTATTATTGTTTGTTGTAAATAAGTGATTTCATTCGCTTGGATCTGTTTTAAGCCAGTTTTTCTAAGTTGCTGCAATTTCTTCACGTTGATAAAGAGTTTGAACTCAAGTAAAATGTAAAAAAATTGATCCAATAAATTGTACAGCTGGTCCAGCACAAATCATAGTTAGGGATCCTATTTTAATAAAAATTCTGGAAACTGAATTTCGAGGAAA